AGGTGGCAACAGGGACAGAGGGAAAATGGGAGAAGGGAGGGGAGCAAGAAAGGGATTAGGGATTTAGGAAATTTAGGGGAAAAGTGAGGGGGTTGACATTGGGGGCTTTTAAAATTTTTAATCTTAGCAACGGTTTTATCAACAAAAATTCTATCAATAATAAAATTTTTTTTGAAACACTATTACTAATGGTTTTACTGATGAAATTTTCCTTGATAATGTTAAAAAAAAATTTTTTTAATTTTTTTAACAACAAATTTTTTTGTCAATAAAACCATTAGTAATGTAAGAAAATTTTAAATTTGTTTTAGCAATGGATTTTTTCGTCAATAAAACTATCAATAAATATTAGCAATGGATTTTTTAATTTGTAAATTAGTCAATAAAATTGACAACAATATACGCTAGACTTTTAGTGATGAATTACCTACAAATTTTATTCCGTAGGTAAAATCCATCAGTAATTCATCAATAAAAATGTTTTAAAAATTTCGTCGGTATTCTATCTATAATTGATTGGTAATTAGCAACAAAAAAATTTTATCTGTAAAAATCCATCAATAATAAATGTTTTTTTGGTAGATTTAGAGATGTTAGAATGATGATCACATCGATGTTGATAAGGCAGGAAATTTTTTTTTTTTCAATTTTCATCCTAAACAGGAGTTTAATTGAAAGAAATAAATTTTAAGAGTTTAATTAGACAATAAATAGTATTTTAAAGACTTAATTGATTACAAAAGAAGGATGAGGATTTATACTTTCTCACATTTCTAAAATAGGTTTCTATCCTTTTATTTTTATCCAAATGAAATCATCAAATATTATTTTTTATTTAATTAAACCTTATTTTACATGAAAACTTAAGGAAATTTCTACATTTCAAACTCTCAAACTAAATTTTCAATATTTTAATAAAGTTCATTGTTACTTTTAATTTGGATGACACAATTATATTAAATAAAAGAAACAAAACTTTCGAATATGAACATTTAGTTAATAATAAGTTCGTATATATTTCTATCCATAAGACATAAAAATTACTAACCTACCTCCAATTCAAAAAAAAAATTATTGACATAAATGGAAAAGAAGCTTTTAACCAAAAGTTTCCAAACCACAATGTTACTATCCAACAATATTGTGAGAGTAAAACTCAAAAAAAATTTTCCCTAGACTCTTTTTCTTTTTACGTTAATTTTTGATTAAATACTCCCTTTACCATATTTAAGTGATTTACTTTTATTTAACCCATTGACTTTGCATATATAAAAAGTAATTTATTTTTAAGAACTTAACCAATTTTAATTTTATTTATTGATGAAGTATCATCATCAATGTATAAAATATTAACTATATATATATATTAATTTGAGTGCTTAAACATTTGAACAATAAGGAGAGAAAGAAGGTGATTGAAAAAGCAATTATAGAAGTACCTAGAATTATTATCCAAATTGTTAGCACCTAATTAGCCACAAACTCCATGACCAATAGTTCTCCCAATTTGATGATCATGAAAAGATTGGAAACTGGAAATGATATACAGGTAAGGGCTTGAGCAACCTACTGCATGGTTAGCTGAAGTTGGAGATTGCCATTCCAGCATGCAAATGCTACCTTTGTAGCAAAGACTGCATCTTTTGCAACCTGGTTTCCTAGTGGTGGGAGATGTTGGTGTTAGAATAAAAACTATAAATTTGGAATTACTACTTCTGGTAAATATGAAATTTTGAGAAAATGCTCTAAGACATGCAACGATGCCACTTTTCTTAAGGTTTTATTCATCCCAACCATATGATTTACTTAGTAAGTGTACAAAGAGATTGCAAGCAATAAAACTCAAGGATACAATGAAACCCAGTAATTAACTACATTTTGCACTGACAAAATTAGTCCACCAAGCATTCATTGGTGTATTATAAAATCACCAATGTTCGATAAGATTTTTTGTAGCAAAACTTTATAAAAAGAAATCTGGAGTTTATTGAAGAAAGAAGGAGAATTCTGAAAATTGTTTCTATATTTTCTTATAAAACCAAAAGAGCTTATGTAACTAATTAAGTGTCTGTTTATTCTGCAGACATAACTGTCCATTTTGAATAGACAAAAACTATCTATTTTTAATGGTTAAAAATTATCTATTTTGAACAGATTCATCTATCTATTTGTACAAATTGTTTGTTCTTATCTATCTATCTATTTTAGACAAACTTAACTCTGTTTGTTTGGGACAAACTTAACTAATAAAACACTTCATTAAAAAATTATAAAATAAAATAAAATAAAATAAAATATTATTTTATTTACTAAAGTATCAAGTGCCATTAATTAAATATTAATATTAATCATATAACTAATGTAAGACCTACCAAGCTTGAAAATCCAAGCCCATGGTCCATTAGTCACTTAAGTCCAACTACGGTGGACTTTTACTCCTCTTAATTTAAATGATTATTTTATTTACTCTTTTTTAAGTGTGAGATTATTTCTTATATTTTATTTTGAAAAGTTCTAATAGTTGGTCTATCACATCTTTAAGTAAAATTTGTTGGTCATTAGGTATCAATGCTGATGCCAATGCCAACATCGATAATAAATATGATAGAAGATCACCTGGATACATCCTCTTAAGAACTTCCATTGTTAAAACCAAAACTATAGATATCTCATTTCTCATCTACCTTCATTGTATAAGCCAACTTTGCTTAAAGAAACATATATAATCAATGTGCTCTATTTAGTAAGAAATATATCTAATCAATACACTATTAAGTATTATGTAAGAATGTTGATAAGATTATAAAATAAATGTTGAAAAGAAATCAATTTTGGCTTCACTTGTGGCTACGAAGTAATACTTTATTTCTTCCTATTCTTGTTAATGATGAAATTAATTTTATTGGTTGGTTGAACGATGATTTAAGCATTTTTGAGCATATTGTTTTTTTTTTAATTTTTTAATATAGAAAATGGTGTTTTGAGCTTAATTTTTAGTGAGTTATATGTATTTATTTTTAAATCAAATTTTGGGTGCAAATTATGTTCTTTAATGGAAAAGTAATTCGCAAAAATTATTTTTAAATAAAAAAATCTAATATATGAGGGAATATTTTAAACTTCCCATAAAGGTTTACAAGATTTTCAGTTTATCACATATTCATAATCAAGAAATAAAAGAACTTAATGAATTAACTTATATAATTATTAGAGAAAAATTAGTTTTATTTATTGGCAGTAGAATATTTAAACTTTATAAATTAAATTGAAAGATTAACTTTTGTCTTCAACTCTTTTATCTAATGATTAAGAAGGTTTAGAAAGACATGTGAGGTGGAGTTCAAACCCCTCCATTCCTATCTCCTGTCCTCTATCCAATGGATAAAAAAATTCACTTGTCTAAATAGAGTATATTTATAAAAAATTAACAAATTGATTAATTATTTAAATAGACATAATGTGTTTTTAAAAAACCCTCTACTTGTGTTTTTGTATAAAATAATTATCCAAAATGGATACAAAACAACTTTTAAAATAATTTATAAAATTAAAAATTACCATAGTAATCTTAAAATATTTATAATTTTTGGGAGCATATCATTTACAATTATTGTAGTATAATTAATTAATTATAATTTAACATTGTGTAGAGTTCATAAAAAATTATGTAGAATCTACACTTGTAAATAGTGGATTTTTATATAATTTTTTGTTGTGATTGGCTAATTACAAAATTGCAATAAAAATCATATGTGAAACGAACCAATTTTTTTTACACTAAGTTTTGTTCTAAGCCAGTAGTTTTCCAAATAAACAAACAAGTGTACTCTTCACCATGATATAAAAATTCAAAACGGAGGAAAAGAATAAAGTTGTTATGGAAATTCATTGAGATTTAATAGTTTAGTCTCACGCAATGATTGTCAAAATGTGGTTAGGATAAATTTGAAAACATGTTGGACTAAATTCAACTCAAAATTTTAGTTTGGGAAAAAATGTTTTGTATTTTTGTTAATAATTATGTTTTGTATTTTATTGGCTATATACTATTATTAAAAATTTTGGATTGAATTTAACTACAGTCAAACCCCGGCTGTAACTAAATATTAAAAATAAAAAATATTTTGTGATGATAAGCCCTTGAATTTTTCATATAAGCCTCTGTCCTTCTATTATAACCAATTAAGTCCTTAAAATATTATTTTTCTCTAAATAAATCTTTAAAGTACAATTTTGTTCCATGAAGCTCTTTTTTATGATGAAAATTGCAAAAAAAAAAAAATTATTTCTTGCCAAATCAACATATATGTTGTAGTTCTTTCTATGATGCCAACATCTGCATAGCATATATTTGAAAAAAAAAAAAAAAACCTTTGAGATGCGATGCTAATATGGCCTATTATATAAGCCATTCGTTACATGCAAACGATAACTCAATTTAAATTTTTGTATTTTTAATGTGAACATTGATTTGACAAAGACAATTATTACCGTTGATGTGATAAAAATAATGAATTTAAGTGGTTTATTGTAAAATAAGACTTAATTAAATAAGAATAATGCTTCATACTTTCCATTGGATAAAAAAAGATAAAAATTTATTTGAGATATGGGAGAAAAGTATAACATTTTTTAGTATTTTAGTAAAAAATAAGTACGAGTTAAACGTATAGATATACTTCAAAATCATCGCTCTAATCCGTTTCAAGTGTACTCAATATAATTACACCTAAAATTTGAATGATTTAAAAGGCAAGAAGTGAAAAAAAGATAGAAAGATGAAATTATAAAAAATCATGTGTTGAGTGTGTATAAGAATAAATGGCCAATAAACAATAAATAAAAAGGTTATTGCATGAAATTATGTTTATGGTAATTTGGTGTAGTCACCAATTGTATTCTTTGTTTGTTCAAACAAATAAAAAAAATGATATTCGAATTATTGTAGCATTCCAAAGTGAAAGTACTGTAGCAAATCGGTACTACAACATTACAATTGATATTGAAAGTTGAAATTTTATGTTTGGCCATTAGTTACATTTTAGAAATAGGAAATCCTAAACATACAAATTTAGTGCTTAAACACAGCTGTTCTATATCACAGCCGATTCACTACAAAAGCTTTATTATTAGAGTGTCTAAACATTTTCAATACAAAGAAGAGAAAAAGAAATAGATTCAAAGCAAATACACGTGCTTAGAATTGTTATTCAAATTGTTAGCACCTTAATATTAGCCATTGCAAACTTCATGATCCCATAATTCTCCCAATTTTATGATTGAGAAAGGATTGGCCAATGGACACGATTGACGGGTAAGGGCTTCAGCAACTTGTTGCATGGTTGGCCGAAGTTGGGGATTGCCATTCAAGCATGCAAATGCTAGCTTTGTAGTAGATACAACATCCTTTGCAACTTGTCTTACCGGTGGTGAAAGACGTTGGTCTATCACATCTGTAAGTAAAATCTGTTGGTTGTCATTTGGTACTGATGTCGATGTTGATGCCGATGAAGATGATGGTAAATATGAAATCAAATCACCAGGATGCCTCCCCATAAATATTTCCATTGTTAGCACTCCAAAACTGTAAACATCACATCTTTCATCTATTTTCATTGTATAAGCCAACTCTGCTTAAAAAATATATCTAATCAATGTGCTTTATTAAGCAAGAAATATATCTTATCAATACACTACTATGTAAGAATAAAGAATATTGAGAAGATTATAAAATAATGTTGTAAAAAAGTTGTAAATGTTTAGAAGATTATTTGAAAATTGAAAAGTTCTAATAAAATTTTACATTTAGTTCATTAGTTTGACATATTGAATATTGAAAAATTAAGTGTTAAACTTCAAAGATTCATTACACATTCGATACTTGAATTATAGTAAAATTATTAATTTGGTACTTAAAATTTGAAAAGTTACAATCATAATACTACTTGAACTTTGTTTTAACGCATCAATTTGCACAGAAAATTAACACTTTTAATTGAACAATGACATGTTTAAAGTATCTTTAAAAAAAAAACATATCAATAAATACCTGGAGCTATGTACCCGAAAGTGCCAGCAAGTGAGGTCCAATTGGAAGAGTCGGGCTTTAAAAGTCTGGCTGTGCCGAAATCTGAGACATGAGTCTCATAGTCCAAATCCAGAAGAACATTGTTGCTGGAAATGTCTCGATGAATTATCGGTGGTGAATGGTCATGATGCATATAAGACAAGGCATTGGCCACTCCTTTTACAGCATTTAGCCTCTTCTCCCAATCCAACTCCATTGCCTCGTCCTTGTTGCTTAACACCATTCTCAAACTTCCCCTTTCTACAAACTCATAAACCAAAAATGAGTTCTTTGGATGTGAACAAAAGCCATACAGCTTCACAATGTTACGATGCCGTATTTCTGATAAAACATGAATCTCGCTTTTAAAGGCTTTCAAGTTGTTGGAAATCATGCTATCTTCAGATTGGTGAAGTTTCTTCACAGCAACCACCTCACCAATGGGTAGCGCAGCTTTATAAACAGCTCCATAGCCTCCTGAACCAATGCAGTTGTTGGAGCTGAAATCTTCAGTGGCTTCAATAATGTTCTCATAGAGTATTCTTCCATTATATCCCCACAATGTGAAAAAATCTCCAAGTTGTGCCTCGATTGACTCAGATTGTCTGGTTTGGTTCTTTTGGCAAAGAATAAGGAAACTTCCGGCCATGATAAATAGCAAAAGCAGAATACCAAAGATTGGAATCACAATCAAAATGATGAGTCTGGTTCTTTTTCTATGACCCTTTTTGTTGCTAGTGATAGGAACACAAGGCATTAATCCAGTGGCATTACCACATAGGCCTCTATTGTTTCTTAAGGCATCAAATGGAGCCTTATGAAATGCCTTAATGTTGGGAATAGGGCCTTCCAATTGATTGTAAGAGATATTCACAACCGTCAAGCTTTGCAAATCATTAAAAGAATTTGGGATGGAACCATTGAGCATATTGTGAGAAAGGTCCAATATTTCCAAGGAATGTAATTTTGCAAGCTGTTGTGGTATCTCCCCAATAAGTAAATTCTGACTTAAATCTAGATTTCGAAGGCCATTTATGTAGCTTACTGAAAATGGAATGCTTTCTCCAAGTTTATTCTTGCTCAAATTCAGGTCCAATAACTTTGAGCACTCTCCAAGTTGATTAGGAATCTGTCCACTCAAATTGTTTGATGCCAAGTTAAGATATTTTAGATTTGAAAGAACTCCAATCTCTGGTGGAATTTTGCCTGAAAATTGGTTGCTACTTAGCAAAAGTTTGTACATCAATGTCAATGCTCCCAATTCCTTGGGAATCTCACCAATGAGATGATTTGAAGAGACATCGAGTTCGTGTAATTGAGTTGCATGCTTCAGCTCAGGTGGTATCTTTCCAGAAATGTTATTATTGGAGATCCGTAGGCTTGTTAGATTATGGCATTGCCCCCAGTTTGGCGAAAGTTCACCATAAAATTTGTTGTTGCTTAATGCAATATAATTCAAATTAGGATATATACCAAAAGCTTCTGATATATTTCCTGTCAACTGGTTTCCTTCAAGCCTAACTCTGGATAAGCTCTTGCAGTTTCTTAAACTTGATGGGATCGGACCCCTCAAATTGTTGTTAATAGCCCCTAGCATTTTGAGTTGTCCACCGAGGCATACATTGTCGGGTAATGGACCACTAAGATGGTTGTTCGATATTTGGAATGATTCCAAATGAGTAAGATTGCTGAACGAAGGAATTGGCCCTGATAAATGATTATACTGAAGACCTAACACCACAAGCTTCGTTATGTTTCCAATTGAAGCAGGGATTGAACCAGAGAACATATTTTGACCAAGGTAGAGAGCAGGTAAGCTTGTCAAGTTTCCTATGGAAGCGGGGATTGAACCAGAGAAACTGTTATTGAACAAACTCAATTGATTGAGAGATTTAAGCATTCCAATCTCTTGAGGTATTGAGCCAGAAATCACATTTCCATTAAGTAAAAGACTGGACAATTTGGTCAAGTTTCCTATGGAAGTGGGGATGACACCATTGAGATGATTTGTTAACAACTGCAACGTGTTAAGAGATTGAAGCAATCCTATTTCATTGGGGATAGAACCAGAGAGCTGATTTCTATACAGATAGAGCCATACCATGTTACTTAAGTTTCCTATAGATGTTGGAATAGGACCAGTTAGTTGGTTGCTTGAAAGGTCAAGCATATTAAGTGACTTCATCATTCCAACTTCTTTAGGTATGGAACCATTGAGCCTATTGTCAACGAGGATAAGTCGGGACAAATTGTGCAAGCTTCCAATAGAAATAGGTATTGGACCGGTGAGATTGTTTGCATTAAGGGCAAGTATAGAAAGTGAACTCAACCTTCCGATTTTAGAAGGAATACTTCCAAAGAAATTATTCTGTGACAAGTCAAGCTCAGTGAGCTTGGAAAGGTTGCAAACCTCTTCAGGTATAGAACCACGTAGATGGTTAACATAGAAATAGATCTTGGAAACTGAACTCAACTTCCCTATTTCTTGTGGAATGGAACCATTGATCTCATTATTTGATAAGGAAATCAACTCAAGACTTTTCAGTAAGCCAATTTCGGATGGAATATTCCCAGAAAAAATATTGTGTGACAAGTCAAGGTGGATAAGCTTGGAAAGGTTCCCAATGTGTGAGGGAATGGGCCCATACAGTGAGTTGTTACGAAGGTTAACCCACACCAGGTTAGGGAAGAAACAAAAGTTAAGACTATGAAGTGTACCTTTCAAGTTCGACATATGATCTGGAAGGCTTAGATCGGTGATGGTTCCAGCCAAGTCGCAAGTGATTCCGACCCAGTTGCAATGGCTGCCTCCAACCCACGAAGAGAGCAAAGTTTGGGTGTTGTTGTCAAGGCTAGCTTTCCATTTTAGAAGAGTTTCTGTTTCATTTGCAGCAATGGAGGATGAAGAAGCAAAAACAGTGGGAGACTGATGCAGGACAACTATGAGGAAGAACAGGGCTTTGAATGGTATCATGAAAGATGCCATGATTTGGATGGTTCAAAAAGTATTGTTTGTTAATTGTTGTAAATTACATTGGCTGGCATGGTCAGGTATTTATGCAAAATACTAGAGCATTTCAGTCTCTACGAAACATCCAAGTGGAAAAATGTAATTTTAAAATCTGCGGGTCTTTTACTTTTAAATCAATTTCTTTGAAATTTTTTTATAAAAAAAATTCTAATATAGAAAAACATTTTAAATATTGATATTTAAATTTTAAATTTATTGTGATTATATAAGTTAATTAAATTAAATTAAAAATTTTTTTGTAGATACTGATTACTGATTTTTTTTTATTTTCTTTTATAAAGTAAATAAAAGATGATTTTATTTTGGTTGATTTGCGCTTATTTCTGTGACTTGCATGCATGGACAGGTATTTATATGTGCAAAGGAATTGAAAAGTCACAGAAATATACACCTCAACATGGCAAGAAATTTAGGGCATGCCCATCTTGTACGTCTGATGGATGTTGAAGTTTAAGAATTTGAAATCCGGAAAGTGGACATTTTCTTTCATATTTATTCTAATCTGTCAATATTTTACTAGAACTTTCATTTTGCTTCAATTTGATTGGTAGCTACTCACCATGTTGGATGCAGTCCATAGCTCGCTGCAAACACTTCATTGGAAAGTTTTAAGTTGACTTTCAATTGTTTGTTATATGTGAAATATTTTAGAGCATATGCGTGGACTTGAAATTCTAAGTCATTCAAAGTCCATATATTTCGTTTTCATGTTCTCAAGTTTCAATTAACCATAATACACTCAAACAGACTTTACCAAGAAGCATGGAATCTGAATTTCAGCAATTCCACAAGAACGAAAATCAAATTCATACATATATATTCAACACCAAAAGGAAATAAATATTTTTCTAAATTTAAATACTAATATAATATTTTATGCTATTATTAGATTACAGCGATAAACAAAATAATTTTATCTATTTAATACAAGTATACACAAATAAATTAGTTTTTTTTTCAAAATTATATTCAGATTTTTAAAATTTATAATATATATAATTCATTTATACTAACTTGTCTTAAAAAAATAAATTATTTGAAAAAAGCAAGAAAAAATGTCATGTCTTCCCTTTGAACTATTTTAACTACAATAATATATATACACATGTAAGATTATATCAAATGAAAATATTTTATGTCTTAAAAAACAAAACATGTATGTTATTGAATGATAAATTAAATAATAAAAGAATTATTAACATACTTTCACTTTTATAATCTTAATCAAATTGTTGTACAAAATATGAAAAATATTAGGAGATCTATGAAAAAAATAAATTGAAAAAATAATATTATTTTTCATAAGAATGAAATTGCAACAGTAATAAAATATATCTTGGAAAAAAAGTTGTGAACAAAAAAAATAAATTGCAATAGTAATAAAATATAGAAAAAATTGCAAACTGAAAATAAAAACCTTTTTAACAAATTGCATTTATAATCTTAAATTTGTAGAAAAACTATTGAGTGGCAATTAAGATTGAATAGGTAATTTTTAAATTAATTTTTTTAAAATTTAAAAAGGATATGATGAGTGATAAAGATGAAATCAATTTTTTTGTATATATGTAAATATAAATTTGAAAATAAAATTTGAGATGAATATAATCCTTTTTATCATCATACTATTTTAAAGATTTAATATGAAATTTTATTTTAATTTTTAATGTCTTACATAAATTTTTGAAAAGTATACTTTTTTTATTGATTCAAAAAGGATCGTTGAAAATTTTGAATACATTTAATCTTGTAATTTGTAAACATGTTGAAAGATTTTTATAATTAAATAATTTCTTAAATAAGTTTATTTGATAAACAACTAAAATTATTTATTATGAAGATAAAATCCATATTCAAATTTTTAATTTTGAAAAAAACATATCTAGATCGATTTAGTTTCAATTATAATTTGAATAATTTTATTATTTGAAAAATTTAGGATTATCTAATTTGTAATTAAAAAAAAAACTATCATATTCTTTTAAAAAGCTATCTTATGTGTTATTCAAAAAAATTGTCCATATAAGCATCACAAGCGTCCATATGACAAATTTTATCATGTCTCCATGTATGTTGTAATCTAATGTATATATTATATTACATAATATAAGACTACATGATAAAAATTGCTTATGTGGATGTCTAGGTAGATGGTCTCTTTTAATAACACATAGGATAATTTTTATATTATTTTATTTATTAAATAATTTTGAATAAATTACTTAATTTAATATTTTGAATAATTATTTAACTTCAAGACAAAATCTATCTGACATTGAAAATTTTGTATAAAATTTAAATTCAAATATATTAAATCATAATTTATCTTTTCTTTTTAAATTTAATCACAGTTTCAAATATATATACTTAATAAATTTTTATTTTTTGCCAAAATAATTTTATTTAATAAATGATTTAAATTTAATACTTTTAGATAATTATTTAAATTTAAATAAAAATCTATCATAGATTGAAAATTTAGCTTAAATTTTAAATTCAAATATATTAAATCTTAATTTATCATTTTTTTCAATTTAATCATGAATCCAAATATATATGTGTGTGTGTGTTTTATAAATTATTATCTATTGCAATTAGAATTTGAAAACGGAAATAAAGAGCATAAAGGAGACCATCCCATTCAAGCCAAGATTATTTTATTTGTTATTATTAGAATTAGAAATTGAAAAGGACAAGTTTTTTTTATTTGACAATTATGGTTTATTGGTTTTGATAAGAATTAACAAAAGTTAGAACGAAGTGGAAGCCACATTATACTCATAAACAAATAAGTCCATTTTCTATCTTTATTATTCCTCAAAATATGGTTTATATTGAGATTAAGAATTAAGTAAAAGAAAACAGACTGAAATTTAAATTGGTCAAGTATTAAGATTTATTTAGAACTTATATAATGGTTGATTATAAGTTAATGAATTATTAACTAGAAAGCATGTACTACTAAAGTAATAAGAGCTTGCATCTTTATATGAAAAGATAAGACATTTGAATGTTGTTAAAGAAGTTCAATAGAAGGGTGTTTTTTGTTTTTGGAAACAAATATAATGTTTTATTTATGTTCTAATTTAAATATTTTTTATATCGCATATTTTGTTAATTTATTTGTTTCTATTTAGCTCATTACTTTTTAAATTTTGTTTAAATTAATTATAATTAAAATTTCTTATTATATATATATTTTTTTCTTTAATGTTTTTATTTTATGTTAATTTATTAACATATTTACTCTTATTATTATATATTTTTAATTTTGACAAATTAATATGCAAATTTATATTCTCTATGGAATGTCATAATTCTTGCTGACAGCTCAGATGCCAAAGGCTTGATGCTCCAAAAGCCATAAAAAAATGGTGTACAACGATTTCATATCTATTTATCTCCGAGATCTTTGTTATCAGAACAGATAACCAAGCAGTAAGAGATTTCCTCAAAAACAAAAAACCCTTTGAAAATCTCAAGAGAATTAGGTAGTACAATTTTCTTTGTCAATATCATTTTTAGGTAGAGTTCATAAACGGAGACAAAAACCTCATAGCAGACTATCTGAGCCAATCACATGGATCGAGGAAAACAATACATCCATGACATAGGTGAATGGAAAACCATCAAGAAGAAACCAAGTAAAAAATCCTCTTCTTCTTCTTCCTTTTCTTTAAGACCCTCTGCATTTTCTACAAATCCTAAACCAGGATTTAACATTTTTAATAATCCTAACCAAGGATTATATCTTTACCAACAACTTTTTTACAGACCTCCTTTCATGAGGATTCAACCAAAATTCTCTCAGTTCGCTCAAAATCCAAATGAATGGACACCCATGAGTTACTCTCAAATAGTTTCTTCAGTAGAACAACTGCTTGAAAGAACAAAACTCTATAACCCAGAGATCAAAGATTTTTATAATCTTGGACTTGAACCATAAGTCTACAATTTGATAAATAATGTTTGAAAATCCCATCTCTCATAAAACAAATCCAACTTTCGTAAAGGGATGACCAATTAGTTGAATTCTTAGTCAACCAGGCTAATGATTTTTAGTCTTTTAAAGAAATAGCTTTTCAAAGCCTTCTATCAACTAATCTGCTTAAACAGCAAGATATTGATTTCTTTGCTTTGGAAGAAAATCAGTACAGTATTCAAGAGATAAACAATTTTTTGAATTTATGTGAATATTTTGAAAAAGAAAATTATATTTCTTCTAAGCTAAACAAGTTTATGAGAATCTTTTTTTTTTTAAAAAGCTGCGGTATTCCTAACCAAGGAATTGTTTCAACAAATTAATTCTTCTATTTTACAATCAACAGAAACAATGTTGATAGAAAATTTTTTTGATTATTATACCTATACTTATATGTATAATACTGCATTTGGAGAATATATACCCAAGATAAAATTTTAACTTGATCATGAAACCTTTGATGTAAAAAGTATTGAATTTGGTTTAGTCGAACAAATTATTGTACAAAACATTTTTATTACATTCATTTTACTATATATAATCTTTTAGGTACCTTTCAAAGAGAAAGATTTTACCAACCTTATCAGATATAGGAATTTGATAAAATATCCGATGAAAATTTCCTTCAACCCCTTAATATACTTGATCCACTAACAGACCATATCGAGTTCTCTGATGATTCAAACAAAACCATCACTAAATACACAAACCCAAACAATTACCACTTTCTCCATTTAGCCACCAAACCAGACTATCCAAAAATAGCTTGCTGGACAGATGCCAAATGAATTTTTGTCCTCAGATTTCTTGAATCACATGAAGATCTGGACATTGAAAATGAACCAGATGCAATCCAGTTGCTGAAAAAACTATCTAAAATTGAATATCTAAATCATTTTACAAAATTATTATACCAGTATCAAGAAGGATGGCAAATGTGGAACAAATCACATTCTGAATCTCCTCTATCACCTCAGTCTCTTAATGCACTGGATGAAAAATTTTATAATTTAAACAATCTTATGGAAGGATAATTAATTGTGCGTATTCCAAACTAGAATA